CGAAAGAGAAGAATAGAACATCCTTTTTTGCTGATGATGATTTCTGGAGGGAGGGTGGGAAACCCCAACACGCTCGAAACATGTGGAACCACCCATTTTCATGGATCAAAACTAATTTCAGTGAGTTTGATCTGGGCAATTCAAACAAATTTTCTGAAAGTTTTCAGCTCAAAAAGGCTGGACATGTCCGAGTCCTTGATATGTCTAGAAAGAGCTATACGTGGCAAAGGACAAATCACAAAACTCTCCAATTTCGCTACAACCATCATATCTTCACGATTTTAAAGGTTATTCGGTCCTGAAGTGGCATTCCACATCCCTATTTTGCCTCATTCCTGATCAATTTTTTGAATAGTAATTTTTATCAAAACTGAAACAAAAATGAAAATTTTCCGAATTGCAAAATGGACGCGGCCAGCCCGGTCTTTTGCAACAATGTTTTTTCTTGTCTTTTCGAATATTTTTTAAGGTCGATGTAGAAATAAAATCAACATTTATACCAAAATCAAAGACTGGAGTGTCGTTAGAAAGTTTTTTCGCATACCTCGTAGGTTGTTAATCCAACAGGAAAAACCACTAACAAATCTTATTCTAAAATTCTCATGAAATCGAACTTTTGGATTACCGGATTTGAACAATTTTAATGTCCGATATTGTATCTCGGAACGTTTCAGACACCGTAACGGAAGGCCCCCTCAAAGCATCGACTATGAGTTTAATTATCTCCATTCCTGTGAAAGATATCAAAAAATTGCCAAGTGATAAAATGTTTTTCATAATATCAGAAACATTTCATTAGTTGACCAATGTTTGATACCTTTCACAGGAACCGAAATAAATTACCTCAAACGTACAGTTTGGGGGCCCTCATATTACAGGTTTTGCGATAACCAAAAGATCATTCTTTTCAGATAACTCAAAGATCGATCAGTGTTCTGAATCAGCAAAACACGTCCATGTCCAGGACAAAACTCCAATTGCTATTGTTAAACAAATTAGCATAACAAAACAATCTTTTCGTCTCTAAAGAAAAAATAAAATTTGTGAGAAGGAACCTTCGAAATCCTTCTTTCCTTCAAAATCTACTTTTACGATTCTCCTATTGAAATTCAAATTACGCCATTGTCCCCATTATAACCTTAGACTGCATAAAAGTCATCGATCAGACCCTCATCTCTACAATAAGGAAAATAGTAACTCAAAATGGCCGTCACATTCTTCACTTTCCCATCCATCTCCCTTGTCTTTCATTTTCAAACAGTGAAAAAAAACGGGATACATTTTTTATTGTTTCACACTCACCTCTGCCAGGTAAATATTCTAACTGTTAATTCATCATCTTAGTAGATACTGCGAGAGATGCGAGAAACATCGTCTCCTCCTTCTCCAGTTATTCAACACCATCAATCATTTGGTTGGCCATAAAGTTTTTACGGCGGCACTGTCTTTGTTAGGGGCAGAGAGATCTCTCAGATTCTAGATTTATTGAAGACAAGATACAGTTTTACTAGGGGGTAGTAATAAAACCCGTATAGTTCTGTTTGGGAGGTTGCTGTGTTTTTTCTTTAACTCAATGTCCCTTTATCATAACAGTTACCTATCATTTATTTGTTTTTGATCTGCGCTATGTTTTGAGAACTACTCTACGTTATTTTTTCATTTTTCTTTTCATCCGCTTTTTGAATGTCAGACAGAAACCCATTCCAATTCTAGTCTACAATTGGAAAACCAAAACAATTCGGTTTTTTTGTTGCAAACACGAATTCAAAGTGTTCTCTCTGTTCTTTCCACGCATAGAGTGCAATTTTTTCTTGTTATTGTCCGTTTTTCACAAGGATTACCAAATTACGTCTATCGACCGGCCGCTCGCACGACTTCTAGAATGTTCTAAAACGTCCTGACGTCAATTGATTTCATTTGGCGAATTTTCAAAAAACACGAGATTCTGATTCCTATTCCAGTTTCCCTTTATACCTCCTTGATCACACTTTCATTAACAGTTTTGTACTGTTTTCCTCATCACATCACTTTTCATTCTTTGTAGATTTTCTAGTAGTATAGATTTGTTCCGTGCAAAATTGAAATTTCGAAAAAAAATTTCCGAGATAAAATTCATTTTCCCAAAAGAAATCTCTATTTACTTATGCTATAAAAATATTGGCAGGAAGAATTTCCGCTTCAAAATATGTGATGAATTTTTCATTTTCCAAACAGGAAGAATTTTTCTTCATTTTTTAAGGAATTTTCTTCGAACCTGCGCTCAGATTTTGATGAAAATTACAGAATCAAAGCTTATATAGAAACTTCTGAAAACTTTGGAATCTGCTGGCCCGTTACAGCAGAGTAATATCAGAATATCAAAAATCTTTCATCAAGTTTTCCAATTTTCCCAGTTTCCTGGTTTTTTTTCCGAAATTGAGAAATACAATTTTTTCAAACAATGTCTGAAATGTACAATTCATTCCATTCTAAGCTTTAGATTACAAATTTCATGTTCTAAAACATCCTAGAAGTTGAAAAATGGCCTCTGAAAATTTTTATTTACCACTGAAAACGCGATTTTTGGTACTGAAACTGATATAACTTGGCTGAAACTGACGAGCGGGCTCAAAAATTTTAAGAAGTGTCTTGATTGGTTATTCTCAACCTATCCTAAAATTTCATCAAATTCTGAATATGAAAGCTTCCCTTATAAAGTTTATTCGTCATTTTTGATGGCAAGTGACGTCTAGACTAAAGCACGTGGGGTCAAAACGTGAAAAAGAGCTTCGAAAAGATAAATTCCACTGATTGTTCCCTCATCCTCTTTCTGACCCCGTATCTCATCAGATCATTTTGTTACACCACTAGAAAATAAAATAGAAGATATCGAGTCAGTAGGTTTCACCAGGTTTTGACGGGTCAATCTTCTTTGATCTGGCCTAAAGCAAATTGTTTGTTCTAGGAAACGAAAATCTGCTAAATCTGATTTTTTCTATTCCATGTCTTTGAAATGTCCTAAAAGTTTATACTGTATTTCCTTTTACTCAAACCTTCAAATTAGAATTCATTTAAATGGATTCATGTGAAAGATATCAAAAAAGTTGTCAACTGATAAATTATTGGTGATATTATGATGAACAATTTATCAGTTGACAAGTTTCAGATAGATTTCACAGAAACCTAGATGATGGAGGTCAAAGCTGATGATTTGGGTGGGATTCTATTAAAGGAAGTACCGTATGTTCTTTTTTTTTAGAACAGATGCTATCCAGACACTCCAAAAAGCGTTGTCCACCTGTTTCGATATAGCGCTTTTTCATTTTCAGATATATATTCCAGTTGTTTACGGTTTCCTTCCAGATTCGTACCAGTTACTTAACAAACATCTGGATCCATACAACATCTGTTAAAATCCTTTTTAACCCTTTTACCTTTTCTTCCGTAGGTCCAAAAACAGCCAATATCGTGCACTATCATCTTTAAACCTTGGTTGGTCTTTTTCTCTAGTTTTCAGCGCATTTGCATTTCATGAACCGTGGGTTTTAATCCAGAAATCACAAAAATATGAGTCACAGAACGTAGTATATAGAGAGGACTTGACCATCAACTTCGGAAAAATTTTTTGTGACTCGTTTTTCCGATTGTTTTTTTCTCTGTACTTAGGTTATTATGACGTCGGTTCTCATAAATCACACCTACTGACATATATTTGACAGATTCTGTTCAATATATAGTACCGATGAATATGATATAGAAAAACGTAATTTTCCGTTGATTTTATGCCATTTTGATCATTTTCAGGAGTCTCAAGCTCGGCTGCCAGGTTTCCGATCGGTTTGAAAATCACGGTTTTTGTAAAATTGACCTAGATTGAAAACTTTGCATTCACAAAATCTTTTGAAATTTGTAGTTTTCCAGCTGTTTTGCCGATTTCTGAAAAACACTTGTTTTGTCAAGTTTTTAGTACAAAAACGAGAAAAATAAGTGTCTTACAGAATTCGAAATAGCTGGAAAACTACGAATTTCCAAAAAACTTTATGAATGCAAAGTTTTAAATCTATGTCTGTTTTACACCCTCCAAAATTTTCAAAATGATCGGAAACTTGACAGCTAAGCTCCGGACTTCTGAAAATTGTAAAAATGACCGAAAATCAGCTGAAAAATGCGTTCTTGTATATTTTGTTGACCGGTACTGTATATTCTGAAACAAAAACGTTTCCAAATTTTTCTTTTTTAAGATTTGATAAGCGTATCGGTTTCAATTTGTGAAAGAACTGGTTATCACTTATCACCGATGGAATTGTTTTCTTTATAATTGGTTTTTTGGACTTGTCATATCGAATATGTCTCAATTTTCATCTTTCTATCTTACATCAACACTTTTCAGACATCAGCATTAAAAATTCTCTCTCTCTCTCTCTCTCGAAGTTTTGACTTTTGGCTTCTGTTCTTTTCTATCTTCTGCTAATCTTGTTTGCATCAATCCTTTTTCCCTCGAAAGACTGGTTTGAGAAAAGTAATTCTTTCTCTAAGATAGATCATCGTACTCGTTACGGTACTTGGTTTTGAATCATTGAACAAAAATGTAAATTTTATTTTTGGTGACGTTGGTAATACGTCATCCACCCCTTGAAATGTAAATTTTTCGTATTACGATGCACTGTAGTTTTTTGAAAATTTCCCATATGGGTTTTCTCTCCTCTTTTCATTCTTCCGTATTTTTGCTCGAAAATGTTGTACTCTGATATAAAGACTATTTCCAGGGCTAACTAAAACCAATTTGGAAACAAAATGAAGGATAGAGGATCTACTGGTTGCTTGGCTATCCGTCAAAGATACATTGTTCTGGCAATTGGTAACTTTGAACTCTTTAACGAACCTTTTTCAAAATTCAATTTTCAGGAACACTATGTATTGCCTCGATTGCTAGTAACATGACGGTTATTAATTTCACTCAAATTTGTATGGCTCCAAAAATCAACAATACAGGACTCCATCTTCAATCTCCACTGAACGAGACTTCTCACAGCTCTTCTGCATTTGATAATGACCAGAAGGCTTACATTCAGTGGGCTGCTGCTATTGGAACTTTGGCTGCTGCTTGGCCATTCCATTGGTGAGAACTTATTTTCGGATTTTTTTTTCAGTATTTGTATTATCGCTGTCTGAAAAATGAAGATTAGAGTGTCTTTTTTTTGCAGTCTGAGTACGGTAGGTTTCTCGAAACGGCAAGCCTAAATAGCACATGTTAGGTGGAGAAGCAGAAAGTTTTTCTCTGCGTCTCAACCTTCATTTTTCAGACAGCGATAATATACATTTTGGATATTTGTGAAACAAGGCAAATCATTTGAAAGGTACTACAATTTGGAGGTGCAACGGGGTACTGAATAATTTAGTGTTACAAAACTCACAATTGCATGGTATGAGATTCTGAAATTTGAAGATATTTTGTTTTGAAGATTTTAACTTTTAAATAGAGCTTGGTTTTCAAGTTTCCGATTACTTTGAAACTTTTGGAAAGTTCAAAACAGACTTGTGTTTAATATTTTGCATTCACCGAACTTTTTAAAAATTCCTAGTTTTTCAGTTATTTGTCAATTTGTAACGGACACCTATTTTCACGTTTTCAGTACAACAGCGAGCCTAATGAGGGGTGTCCCTCAGAAATCGGCAAACAGCTAAAAAATCAGGCATTTCAAAAATTATGTGAATGCAAACTTTTCAATATAGGTCTGTGTTAAACCCTCCAAAATTTTCAAAGTTATTGTGAACAAGACAGCCGAGATACAGACTTTTGAAAAAATCAAATGTAAAACAAGTTTTTGTTTATCTTACCGATAATGTATCAAAGATATCCGTATTATTCCTTACCGATACTGTATTAAAGGAGGCGAGACAGCAAAAGTTTTGCGGGACAGTTTGGGGGACGAAATCGCGCCGCGCTTATGTAGGTCATCGGTCGGCAGCCGCCTGCGCCAGCGTAGCTCAGCCGGTAGCGGCGCTGTACCCCTGAGCTGTCTGCACGAGTTCAACCCCTCATGGGTGTTCTCTCGGCAAAATATCGGGAAAACTTTTTTTTTGATGTCTGGGCTCCTTTAAGGATATTCGTGTAATTACCATATTTCAGGTTCTACCAACAATATGGAGCACGCACTGTCTTCTTCATCGCCGGAGCAGTTTCCACCGTCGCGACGGTTGTGATGCCTCTTGCTCATCACACTCACTTCAATTTTCTGGTGCTCGCTAGATTTTTCCAGGTTTGCTTTCAATTTCTCCTGTCACTTTCACACCCATTTTTTCAGGGAGTAAGTTTCGGTGCAGATTTTGCCGCTATTGGACTTATCGTTGTCAATTGGGCTAGTTTGAAACAGCATGGATTGTTCATCTCCCTGCTTTCTTCATTTTCTCAAATTTCGGTGATGTTCACTATGCCAGTTTCCGGAGAGCTCTGCGAATCTCGATGGGGATGGGAATCGGTGTACTATGTGCATGCTGCACTCAGTGGTTTCCTCTTCGTACTCTGGTTCTATTTCTACAGGTACGGTTTGGCACTAAAATTTGCCACAAATCGTGTTTTTTCCTAAAGTTTTAAAACATGGGGTACACCGGACGTGCCGTAGTTTTTCAAGTACCGAAAAACCTATAATAGGAGAGTTCCTAACATTCAACTTTGAGTCAACTTATCTCGGTTCCTGTTAGAGATAAGAAAAAGTTATCAACTGATAAATTGTTAATCATATATCACAAACATTATATCAGTTGACATATTTTTGAAATCTTGCATAGGAATTTACATAATTGAGCTCAAACTGGACGATATGGAGGCTCTTCTGCTAAAGGTTTCACGGTATACTAAATAATAATAATAATACACAATAGCAAGAAAACACTGTGTCTGAATTTTCAATTAAATTATTCAGAAACAACCCAACCAAACATCCAAAAATGACTGAAATCGAACTCGAGAAGATCCACCGCGGAAAAGGAGACGTCGAGGAGCATGAAGCTGCCCCAATTGCCAAAATCATGACCAACTCTGTGATGCTCGCCGTCTGGCTCTCCGCCTTCGGAGAATTGATGATGTCCCAATTCATTGTCATGTACGGATCCGTTTTTCTCAAAGAAGTCCTTGGATTCGCCGTCAATCACACTGGATATTTCGTCGCTGTTCCACGTGCTCTTCACTTGGGCTTCAAGGTTATCTCTGGAATTGCCAGTGACCGTATTCATTTCTGGTCCGAGAAAACCAAAATGAGAATCTTCAATACAATTGCTCTTATGGTTTCTGGTGTCTTCTTCTGTGTTCTTGGATATCTGCCAAAGGAACAAGCCCATCTCTCAGTGATTGCTCTTCTCGTTATTGAATGCTCCACAGGATTCATCTGCGGAGGATTTTACAAATGTGCTACTCTTGTTGCCAGGTAATTTTGAATTTTATAAGACAAATCTGAACTTTTCAGGAATTTTTCTAAAAAATTAAAACTCTTAATTTTCAGACAACACTCTCACTTCGTCCTCTCCCAAATTCAGTTCATCAAGTGCCTCTCAATGTTCATCGAACCACTTCTTGTCTACTTGATCTGCGCTAACAACACTCTTGAAGAATGGAGAATTGTTTTCCTGACTCATGGAGTTCTTCTAATCGGTAAATTCTTTTCTCTCATTCAAGTTTTTTCCCAACAATTTTTTTTCAGTTGGTAACGTGATTTTCTGCTACTTCGCCACAGATGAGCCAGCAGATTTCACGCATCACAAGCAAAACGGAGAGGAAATGACCGATGTTCCTCCAGAACGAAGAAGGTGGCTGAAATGCATCACTACGTGTTTAGAATAGTGATCATCCCCCTTCCTAAAAATGTATCCCCAATATGTCTGTGATATTATTTGAATCCACTAGGAATGATAACCGTCAGTTTTGCGTTATGGTGGTGGTGTAAATAAACGTACAGTAATATTATAAAAACGTTTCCAGATGACAGACTCAAAGTGTGCAATTTTCTAATATCCTCTGTTTTTTCAGACTCACTGAAAACGAAGCGTAAATTGGCACCCTAACACGGATCTTGGTTCAACGGAAAAGGTTTTCTAATTTCTCTAACATCTACATTTCTCGTGCTTCCGGATTCTCTTTCCTTTATTTTCTTTTTGTTTTCAATTTCAGTTTTAAGCTGCTCTCGACGGTCTGATATTGGGTTAATAATTGCATTTCACTTTCCATTTGTTTCTGAAGTTTGAAATTTGTGTTTTTTCTAGGCTATTTTCACTTGATTTCTCTTGTTTTTAATCTGATTTCGTTGACTGGGTTATCGATTATAAAACTTTTGTTTCACTACTTTTGAATTAATTGGAAAATAATAAGGAAAACAGTTTTTTTCAAAGTCAAAGAAGCTGCACAGGATTTTTTTAAAATGATGCTCCGTCAAAATGTTTTTTTTGGAAAAAAACCTACAGTGCGTAACATAAGTATAGGGCCACCCCAAAATCTAGCTATAACTTTTTTAAATCGCAGTTTTTTGAAAATATAAAAACAGAATCGTGATCAGCATCCAAAATTACCCCAGGAAAATGATTTTTGTAAAATTATTCATAAAACTGACCGGATGCCGGAACAAAAGCTAAAAAATTGACTTCTGTAAGCGTAACATAAGTATAGGGTCACTTTAGGAATTAGTGGCTGGGCACCCGAAAAACGTGAATCCGGTCAACCAAAAATCATAATTTGAGTTGACTGTCACTATTCGAATCATGATTTCTCAAAACTACTTTGTCTGGTTCCGTCAGATGGGTCCACGCCGCTGTTTTAGTTCAATTTCAGTTGAACCGTCTGGATTGTCAGCTGGAAGATCAGAAGTTTATATTAGAGAATTTCTAGGGCCTCGATATCAGTCCAGTAGACATTTCCTAGGTTCACTAACTTTTTCGGGTTCATATGAAGTACCCAACCGTGTTTCCGGAACCATGAAAGAGCCAAGAAGCTTGCGAGAACACAAATTCTGGCAGTCAGCAGCATCATGGTTGCTAACCGAAACTGAGAAAGCAAGATGATAACGGATACTGCTAAACGTGTGTAAGTCATCTGCATGCGTTTTAGCTTGGAAAACCGGATATGGGACAGGGAGAAGCTTCAAATGCCACAAGACAACCACTGTTTGGAGAAAATAACAACAACCGTCTTAAAAACTCGAAATAAAGCGCATGAGGATGTTCCGGTTATGCAGTCAGACTTGGCCACTGTAATAAAACATGTCCAAACGACCAATCAGCCAACTGAAGTATCGCCGGAAACTCTATTCCTAATTTGTAAGAGGGCCATTAAGATTTGCTCCAGGATAAGGTTTTCCGGTGGTATTTGAAGCTCCAAGCTAAAACGCATGCAGATGACTTACACACGTTTAGCAGTATCCGTTATCATCTTGCTTTCTCAGATTCGGTTAGCAACCATGATGCTGCTGACTGCCAGAATTTGTGTTCTCGCAAGCTTCTTGGCTCTTTCATGGTTCCGGAAACACGGTTGGGTACTTCATATGAACCCGAAAAAGTTAGTGAACCTAGGAAATGTCTACTGGACTGATATCGAGGTCCTAGAGATTCTCTAATATAAACTTCTGATCTTCCAGCTGACAATCCAGACGGTTCAACTGAAATTGAACTAAAACAGCGGCGTGCACCCATCTGACGGAACCAGACAAAGTAGTTTTGAGAAATCATGATTCGAATAGTGACAGTCAACTCAAATTATGATTTTTGGTTGACCGGATTCGCGTTTTTCGGGTGCCCAGCCACTAATTCCTAAAGTGACCCTATACTTATGTTATGCTTACAGAAGCCAATTTTTTAGCTTTTGTTCCGGCATCCGGTCAGTTTTATGAATAATTTTACAAAAATCATTTTCCTGGGGTAAATTTGGATGCTGATCACGATTCTGTTTTTAGATTTTCAAAAAGACCGTGATTTGAAAAAGTTATAGCTAGATTTTGGGGTGACCCTATACTTATGTTACGCACTGTATATGTATTGGTTTTGGTCTACAAAATCGTAGCTTTATGTAGAACAAAGCCAATTTGTTTGCAAGAATGAAACATAAAAAATACTGAAAATTATAACTTTTCGAAACATATGTTATTGACAGTTTAATTCTTTCCAAGCTGTTTTCCAAACAAGTATTTTCTCTAATAGAAGCTCACCCAAACTGTCAATTTCGAGCTCTATTATCTCGGTTTCTGTAAAAGATACCTCGAAGTAGGAGGATTCTCCTAGAGTGTTTACGGTAACTTGATTATAGTTTCATACTTTTGAAAACTATTGAATTATTTATCATAAAATCACCAATAATTTATCAGTTGACAACTTTTTGATATCAACTACAGGAATCGAGATAATTTAGTTCAAAATTAACAGTTTGGATGGGCTGCTATTAGAGAAAATATGATATGCTTATTTCCAACCACGTTTCAAAATTTTGGTTAATAATTAGGAGAGTGCAGAATAGCTCGATTTGAGGTACAAAATTCCTGAAAAAAATCAAAGTTTGTACCCCTAAATCGCCCAGGGCTCTGTTGTACCCCCAAATTATTTTCCCTTGGATTCATTTCTGAAAAACTTTTCTTTCAAAAGTATTTTCCAAAGGTTTCACCTTATCATAACAAAAAGGATTATCCCTCTCTCTTTCTCTCCACTGTTATTTACGGTTAGATATTTTCTAACTCTCTCGTTTCACCTTACTCATAAATATCAACAACTCTGAAGTGTACGCACTTGAACTCGTAATCCGTTTATTTCGAAGTTTCCGATTCGTTCGCCAAGAGAAAAACCCAAGTAAAACATCGTTCCTGTCTGAATTCTCCCTCTAGCTTCTTTAGATATTTTTTTCAGTTCTCCTCGATCCCTGACTCCGAGAAAAATGCCGATAACGAACTTCAAATATTTGTTCATACTGTTTACTGACACTGTGTACGCGACGAGTGCCAACCGCCAAGCGCCCTAGGTTAACGTGTTCTTTTGCATGCTCGAAATTGCACACACACTCACTCATACACACACACACACACAAAATTCCCGCAGACTTCATGCTCCAAATTTAACTTTTTCCGAACAAAAAAGCTTCTTGGACAGAATAAACAGATCAAGTGAACCGATTTCAAAACTTTTTCATGAAATGTGTACTATTTGTTTGCAGGACAAGACTCAAAAAAGTCGGTTGCAGAAAAGCTAAGAGATATACATAGTTACTCACAGTTATTTGCGTGGCAGCTAGTGTTCGGGGCCGAATTTTGAAGTGTCAAGTGCCTAGACAGCATTGTTTGACGCAAATGGGAAAACAAGACAACAATTTGTGAAGATGATGGATGAAAACACAAAAAAAACTGCAATGAACCTTTAAAAATGCATTTTGGAGCCTCAGAGTTCTAGTGGTCGTACACCATTTTCAGCACAGTTCATTTCAGACAAACAGCACAAAAAGTTTTAATAAAAAGTTGTCTGGAAAAAACAAAACACTAAATTTCCTTCATAAATCTCATTTTGAAAATAGGCTCGGTAACCTGGCAACATGTCTGAAGGGTGCAATTTCCACAGCGACAAACGCACGTTGTGGACTCTCGCAAATTTCGAAACGAAATTTTTTCCACAACTCCATTCTCCATTTCATCCTCCTTTCTTTCTAATTTCGTATAGTTGGACCTATTACTACTTGGAAAACTTTGAAGGCCATTGTTATAAGATTTTGAATTGCTGGTCAGTACCGTATTTCGAAAGCTATTTTCTTCTCAAACAAAGTTGCTTGTAGATCTAATCAGGGTTTCTAAAATGCACACTAGGAGGCTTCCGAACTGTTGGAAAAAAAGGTGCATCTACTGTATTTCGGGAAATGCCGCATTTTTACTTGCACTGCAGCCAGTTTCGAATATGTCAATTAAAACCAGTTAGAAAATGTCTGGCATGATTTTTAGTTATTCGCTTACAGAAATTAGATTAGTTAAGGCCAAGTGCAATTTCAGAGTGTGTTTTTGTTTTATCAGAGAAAAACTATGTAAAATTATGATTTAGGTTGTGTTAAACTTATTTTTGAATGAAATTTCATTCTATTTCAAGCTCAGCTTTTTTGAACTCTTTCCAGCCGGCTGTCCGAATACAGAATTAAGTCTCTTTTGGAACGTGTACATTTTTCATTGTGAGTTCGCAAAATGGAAAGAAAACTATGATTGAGTTACCGCAACCACAAATAGAATATCTTAACTTTGAGCCCATATATCTCATTTCCTATAGAAGATATCAAATAGTCATCAACTGACAAAATGTTTATTTTAACATCACAAGTTTTTTTGTCAGTTGACCATTTTCTAATGTCTTTCACAGCATCCGTGATAAATTGGCTCAAGGTTGAAAATAATTTTAGAGGTATTACTGTGTGCGGTATCTTCATTACCATGTTACAAGAGAGTAACATGTATCGAATTTTCAGAAACGCTGATTTGAACCTTTCGATGTTCTGAAATTAGTATTTTAGGTCCTTAACAACAGCCATACTTGGAGCCTCACATTTTGAAGATTTCCAAAATTCATACAAGACTGAAAATATAGGCAAATGAGAAATATTTAGATTTTCTTAATCAATAATAGGCTAGAAGATCCCTCAATTTCAATATTGTTCATCCCTTCTGAATACAATAGCCAATCTTATTGTAATTGAAGTCAATGGTTAATTTCAGACCGATCAATCTCACTATTTTGAAACAAAAGGTGAGTCCATCAAAACACAAAACATCTTCATTTATCCGTCCCATTTTCCAAGTCCATCTGAACTAAACTCTGAAAAACAAATGTCACTTCCTTATTCTTTATATTCATGTATTCCTCAATCTTTGAACATCGCAATTACAACAAATTAGATCAGCGCGATTTCGAAAAAGGGAATAAAAATCGGTACGACCGTTTTTTGCTGTTTGTTATTCCATTTCTCAACCTTGAACACATCATGGCAGTCGCCAAAACAACGTTTTATTTCCAAAAACAGACGAAAAAAAAGTAGGAATCGAAATTGGTT